TGTCTTTAATAAAGGTCGTGATAACTAAAATTAATTTAATTACTTTCAAAACGCATATTGAATTTTTAATCGATTTGAGCATGGGTTTATTAGTAATAAATATCAATTTACGCGTTATCTATCTATTTCTAAAATGGGACAAATTTTTTTGCATTCATTTATTAGTTTTTAGACTTCTTCTAGTAGTATTAAAACCATTCTGATTGGCTAATTATCACGGGAAATCACGGGTGGATCTACAAAACTAACCAATCATACGAATGTCTTCCTATGATAATCTGGTCACTTATACCATACAGATATTCGTTTTGATGAGTCAAAATTACCGGAATGAACAATTTTTGTAGAAATGCTACCTAAATCGCAAAAATACTGCTCCTGATGGATTGTCAGTATTGTTCCTGATAGAGTGGAAAAAAAAATCGATTTACATACCGTTTTCGATAGGGTTCTAAAAAAGGCCTTCAAAATACTATACTATAATAAAAAAAGTTAGAATTAGGGAACCCTATCAGGAACAATACTCAAATAAATTTTTTTTAACTTGGTATTGCCGATCTATCAAGAATAGTATTGCATCTAAATCGGGTGAAATCACTACTCTAAAAAATTTTAGTCAATCAAATTTCAAGATCAAGTATAACGTAGCCAATTGGGAAAATTCAAAACATTGTTAATATAAAAAATTCTGGTAACGACGAATATTAATTTAAAAAAATAACTAAATGAATGAAATTGCACATTTAATAATTTAAAAAAATATATGTTTATTACAACCGGCTTTTAGATCATGGGAAAAATATGAAAATTGCCCATGATACTATTACATCGTGTAGATTACTTTATATCTCTGAACTCACACTGAAAACACGGAGCGCCGTTTATTATGACAAGTAGGAATAATTTTTTGAGTTTTTTTTTAAAATAGAATTTATTTTTTATTTTTCTGACCTTATACTTAATTTTCACTTTTTGTTTTTTAAAATTTATTATTCTTTGCTTTTATTTTTACCTTTCACCTTAATAATTTATTATCTTCACTTTTTATTTTCATTATGACAGATAAAACGTGTAGATAGTTTATGTCGTTGAAACTCAACCGAAAAAATGAGAATGACTCGAAAAACCCCCTGCAAAGTCTTAACGAAACGCATACAGAAGCATATTTTCGTTGATACAGAAAGATATTGAATAAACGAATTTCCAGCAAAAAGTCTATTTATGAATACATACGTATAAGGCAGTGGTGTAAATTGGATCAGCGCAGGTACATATATTTAAATTTGCGCATATATTATTAAAACTGATTAGCGCTTTCGATATATAGAGAACGCATATAAATTTTTTTTGCGCATATTTTTTAAATTTGTTTAGATGGAAAAATGCGCATATGATTTTATATAATATGTGCTTGTGCTAATAAAAATTTTTAAATTTATAACACTGGTATTACGTTACTGGATAGTTGTTGGATTGACATGTGTTACGTTTTCGACCTGAAGCATTTGAAATTGCACCGAGCCACAACACATAATTAGTTGTGAATGTTCATTCTTCTTCATATAGCTTGGAGGTAGCCAACTGGTAAAACCAGTTACGACGGTAAAATATGATACATAAAATCGAGCAACTGGAAGCTTTTCGTGGCCACATTTATTGTGAACGTCCTTATTGATTGTTCAATGAGCAGTTATTCATTTAATATTTTTGTTTTTTAATTATAGAAATATACAATTTAGGATATTTTACAAGACCGATGATTATAAGCATTGCAGTACTTTCGATTATATATAAAAAAAATTTAATTTATACTTTATAAAAAATTATTACGAATAACCAGTATTTTCTAATTAGCATAGTGGGGCCTTTATTGTAATTAATAATTGAAATAAAAAATAATAAAAATTAATTTTAAGTGACCTATATCTATGAATTCGGATTAATTTAAATTGATTATTTTTAGATCATATCAAGAACATAAATTTTTAAATGTGTTAAACGAAGATATACCAAACAAAATTCATCAAAAAACTCTGGGAGTATTAAGGAATTCGCTTGAAAATTTAACAAAATTAAGGATAAATGCGTAGTCATGACCATTGACCGTGCGATTTTCTTTCGCGAGAGCCATCAGTAACCTGAGCTTTATATTTTAAACAAAAGATTTATGAAATTGAATTTGGTTGATTTCAAATGCATATATTAAAGTTGTACTGTACGTCGAATCCAAATTTTATCGATTCTAAATTGATAAATTATAATGAAATTTAAATACCGGTAGAGTAATAAAAGAATTCAATTTCTACATTATATCAGATATGTATATTTAGAATTAACTTGATAAATTTCAAAAATATTTAAACTTTAATGTAATCGAATATAAGTTCTTTAAGTTTAGAAAACGACAAGTATGTATATGTATGTAATATAAGTAGTATACAATGTAAAAAGGCAAAAGTGCATTCTTGCTTTGATACTAAAACTGGCCATTTAAGTGTGATCTTAAAACTAAACAACCACAAGCCTGGAAAACTGCGACTAGGTAAATAGGCAAACGATCCAACGTTTATTCTCATTATGCAAGAAAAAAAAATTAGTAATTTGGTAAAACTTTATGAATAATTTTTAACTATTCGTTGCTACATTAATTATATACATGCACTAAATGCACGGTAAAAGGGATGATCGAGCCGTTTAACGTAAGTTTTGCCTTAAAAGAAGAGTTAGAGGGAGGTATTCTGGTGAAGTGAAATTTTATCAAAAATTGCTTATAGTAAAACTTTATTAAAATATTACTAATTGCAAATTTTATTTCGATATAATATATTTTTGTATAACATCAAAAAAAAACAAGTTGACTTGTATTCGATTGATCGACATAAAATTAACCGTTAAAGTAAAATAATATATGCATTACGACAATCATCCGCAGTATCATTCGCTCTATACAAAGAGTAAGTGACGATTATCTTGCAACCTATCGTATGTTTTTTACATCATTCAATTTGACATGATGAGACGAATCAAACGGTATAAAAATCATTGGCCTCCAACCGGTAAACTGCATGTTAACCTTTACCCACCCCCGCCATAATATCTCCCTTTACCTCATAGATTGTTTGATTTATATCTACATGTAAAATATGTATTATCTGACATTATGCGCTCTGGTCAAAATTTAAAACTATATTAAAAATCCTATATAGGCTCTCAAACTACGTAGGCTATATAGTAATTTACTACGTAGCTTACGTATGTGCTCATCTTTAGTTATAGTGATACAATTAAAACTCAGGTTTCAGAAGGTCATGTAACCGCACCCTCGACTAGTGGTTGAATTTGCTGTATTTATACATTATAGAATTTGAATCTGAAATATATGGACCGAATTAAACTTAATTTAGGCCAAAATTGGAAATTACACCTCTGCACAAAAATATAGTAAATGAATTATGAATCTTAAAACAACTTGGATGAAAATAAAATTTATTACAAATTGTTTACTTGACCTTGAATTAATTTGATCGATTTAATTGGTTGAATATTGCTCTAGATCGATATTTTATTTGCCGGCTAAACAAATTTTTATAAAAGCGACTTAGTTTGGGCCTCGATTATTAATACTAATTGCAGAAAATAAATGGCTAATAAATTCATATTACAGAATTATTTATAAATTTGAATATATAATAGACTTCTAATAAATATTACTTACAAAGAAACATATTCATTACAATAAGATCAATAGGTGATGATTCAATCTCAAATCTTAACAATACACGACAAAGACTGGAAAAGGATGAAAAAACGTTATAACAAAAAATGATATATACACAGAAATATTAGTAACAGTTTTAAAAACAACTATCAAAAAAAAATAAAAAGTGGTGTCCGACAGAAAAAAATTATTAGCCCCATCTCGGCAACTAATAAGATTTCTCTATTCAAAACCCAAAGCCGAAATGACTTAAGATTGCTCCTAAGATAACATAGCTTTAAGTTTTGTTTGTATAAAGTTCTTTACAAGCCGGCGTTTAATATAATCATAAAGAAAATATAATAAAAAAATACAAAAATCTAGACGAAAGTATATATGGTCACCTGAATTGCAAGCGGTTTTGAGTTTCGGGACTGGTTTTCGGACCGGTCCTTGAACTGAGCCTAGGGACTCAGTCAAGATTCACGTAACAGGACCTGGAAGTCCTAGGACCAGACCAGGATGGACTTTACTAGGACTTTACAATCCCTAGTCTCAGATGCATTCTTGTCCCAAATATTAACTGGTCTAAATTAGGGTAAGGATGTAGGTACAATTTAGGCCAATCAGTGCCGGTTAATTAATTCCAGCCGAATAGTCAATGTCTGAGGTTCTCGGTTGTCATCTGAAGCAAATTAGCATTCGAGGCAGATCTTTCTCGCATGAATATCAAGTGATTCGGATATGTACACGGATTTTTTTTCTCTGAAAAAAAAATTATCCACGATGACTTCTTCCATCACTGGATTGATAAGTCTGTCCCAAAAAAGTCAAGTTGACTAGTGCTGGTAAGGAACATATGCGTACAAGGTGTGTTATTTCATTGTGTCGCACTTGGTAATCTAATAGGAAATTGAAAACGTCTTGTGGCTAGGATTATTTGCGATAATTGTTTTCGAGTGATAATATCACAACCTGCATTTCATAATTGATTATATCCTTACCAGCTACCAATATTTCCGTGGTGCTTGTCTCTTCTTGCAAAGATCTTTCTAGCGTCATAAAGTGTGAAATCTAGAAAGTTGATGAATAGGAATACACTTTAGCATTAACTTAACAATGACTCATCATTTATCACTTACTCTTTAGTAGTTACATTCTCGATCCAGCGTAAGAACTAGAGACATAATAATAGTAAGTAATCTATTGTTTACATATATCGTTATTTTAGAATAGCTTAAATAATCAATCAATGTTTTTAAATCATACGTTCATTGTGAGGTGACTCGCAAATGCGCTGTACCTACGGAAATATCGCTATTGATATCATGATGGTTTCTTCCATAAATGCCTCTTGACAGATATAAACAAATTATGTTTTTAGATCCTTCATGTGACCGTCTTCAATAGATGTAATAGTATCTTTGTACACTTCCGTCTACCATGAACGATAGTCTTCTGATGGCACGCCTCTCAGCACCTTCTCTATTCTTTCTTTCTGTCAAAACGCAGTACATTTTACTTGTTGGCTACAAATCGCACTCAAATTAAAATCCAAAACTATTAATGTATGAAAAATTAATAAAATGCTACTTCTCTTATAACCGGCGCAAATTTAAAGGAAAACATCATCTAAACAACCTTAGTATTATCCAAAAACATAGCTTATATTCATAATGAAAGCCCAGAATCAATAAAGGTAAGCTGTTTTTTTATAAAGTACTGTATTTAATAATAATCGCTACGCTTGTAGATGATTAAGGACTTAGCAGCAACTTCTAATTAAACGTACCTTTTTAAAGCTTTAATTTAAAATTTGAACAAAATGATATTGCGAATTGCTCTGTATGTTTTAATATGGTTTAATTTAGCCGGTAGCTATGTATACGTCGAATATATTCAATAGAAAAGAACAATCAAGGCCTTCAAGATAAGCTTTAATCGTGAAAAACGCTATCTATATTGTTTGATTTTATTACTTCATAATGATCACAGAATTATATGAAGTTGAAGGTATGACACGCCTTTAATCATGGTAAAAAGATTCTAATAAGAAATTGTTGAAAACAAATTGTTCGGAGTCTTATAAAGATTAAAATGTAGGTAGAAAGATGATCGCTCAAAGAAAGAAAATTGCTCGATTAAACGTCTGTCAATAATTGTGCAAAATTTCTATTTTACAGTATATAATATTCAAATACATATAAATTCTAACAATACAATAATAAAAATTTTGTATGTGATACAAACCCGAAAAGGAAATTGGCCACTTGGAGAACGTGCGCAAAGTAATTTTTTGATAATTACAGAATTAGTAATCAACATAGACAATTCCGTTTTGATATTGGATCTACATAGCAAATCATATGATTGTTAGTGATAATCAAAACAATTTAAATTGGGTATGCTAGCATATTTTTTTTTTGCTCACTTAGCTTGCTTCTCTTCCTTTGACATTCGAGATTTTTCATCTCCCCTGTTTAAGGCCTACTGGTTCTGGAAAAAGAGCTGGTTACGTTTTCCTTAAGTTAAGCGGTCGAAAAACTTGAAGATAGAGGAATTTGTTAGCAAACTAAGAAAAGCTTCACGTAGGAATAGAATCAACTCTTAAAATTTTCCAAAAGTTTTTTTGAAGAACTGATCTTTAATAACTATTTCGAACATTTTAGGGACCGATTCCTATTTTTACGTAGAAGAACAACCTACTCCTGTAGGGGAGATGCAGGTTGAGACTGGTTGGGGTATGAATGTGATAATATCGGCACACATCCTAGGCCCTGGTGCCGAGAATTACACAAGAATACCTTCCCAATCGTGAGATACACCTCTACGTGGTGATTGGGACGAGTAGGAGAAATAATCTCTGAAACCAAGTATCTCAAATACTAACTCAACTGTTTATTTAAAAAAAATTTTTTTATTAACGAATTATTATCTCACCTTTGTTATAGTCGGCAACATTCTTACGTTTTAAAGAGGTAACTTAATTATATGCTTTAAATTGCTTTTTGATAACGTAACGTTTCGCTAATAAAAAATCTCTGTAAAAATAATTCTAGCTTCGAGAATTCCAAAAATGATCACTTTTAAAAGAAGATTAAGGCGTTATAAGTAGTTAAGAGCTTTATCATATAAATTAATACTAGGAAGCGAATATGCATAGTTGCACTGACTGTAGATCATCACGGGTCCCGTCAAATCTCGATTTTTATTGGTTGTATCTGACTAACATTGCATGAACGTGCATTTAAGTTTACTCAAACAATAGAGTCCTCGCTACGCTTCGGACAATTAAAGTTAAAATACTAGTAAATAGCGTAAATATGACTTGATTGATAAATATGTATGAACAGTGTATTTTATTCATTATATGGATTAAGGATTGTTACGCGTCTCTAATAAAGGCTATAGAATTATTATTCAAGACAATAAAAGCTTCGTAATATGTACGAAAAAATTTATTTGTATCAGTATATTGATCTTTTTATATAATTTTATTTATTGATAGTCAAGTCTTAATCTATATCAATTAGTACAGTGTAGATCATATAGTAAATTCTAATAATAATTTTTTTTATAAGTCAACGATAGTGATAGTAAAATATATAATAAATTCAAACCGCAATAACTCTTGAACCAGCGAATCCGCACAAATAAAATTATACTTGTCGAGTTTGTTTTAACATAATCTTTAAAATAACGCCTTTTTTTATTTTCTTACAAATTATTCGATATTTTTTACCTTAAAAAACTGAAACTATTTGTCGTGTTGCACAACATCCAACGGTGACAGACAAATTTCAATGTTATGATTTTGATGTTTTTATTAAAAATGCATCAAAAAAGAAAACTTTGCATAGAAATCGAGAGTTTTCCGCTACACTCCAGACAATAAAATAAAAAAAGGCGTTATAACTTTAAAGAGCATGTTAAAATGAACTTGACAAATGTAATTTTATTTATGTGGGGTTAAAGAGTTATTGCAGTTTGAAATTTATGTTTTTATAAAAAAAAAAATTTATTATTAGAATTTCTATATGATCTGCACTGCACTATGTTTATAAATGGACCGATAGGATACACCCCAATCAATTAGCTACATATAAAGGAATTTATTTGTATCGATATATTGATCTTTTTATTCAATTCTATTCAATTTTACTTGTTGATACGTAGTCACTTAAATTTACATCAATTAGCCAATCAAATTTACATCAATTAGTCAATCAAATAAGTAAAAACCCTATGAAGGCAGATATGGGTATTATAGTGGTTATTTGCTATGAGTATTGTGACGGATTGAATATAAATTGTGATCAATATTATTTAATTCACCACAATAATCTGGTTACTTAAATATTATGCAAATTTGGGCAAAGCGTTACGCCTAGTGATTTTTTTTTAGGGGAATTTACAAATAAGGGCCCGGAAAGTGAAAGTAATTACAAATACGGGCCCAAATTAAAAATAATTACATCTAAGGGCCTAATTTTTAAAAAATATTACATATAAGGGCCCAGAATAACTGCGACGTTATTTTGATCGTTATTAGCATAAGAAACGTAAGCATCATAAATGTAGTTATTAAGCGCATAAAAAAAATGTAACGATCAATTGTTAATTAGTAATTTAATTATAAATGAGAAATTTTTTTAAATTTAATAAAGTTCATTTTTCTTTGTATAATTTGTTTATTATTATAACAAACCACTATGATGTCAAGTAAAGCATTGCAAATTGGCATAACATTTACTAATATGGAAGATGTTCGTTCAGCTCTAGCTGTTGAAACTTCCTCGCCTTATAAATAATTGTGCTAGTTCAACGCTATTTTTATTACCAATATTTAAACGAAAATGATTATAATCAGAGCTTCATTTATCCTTTTATCTAATAATCGATATATAGATAACTCTAAATACCTATAATAAAACAACCGATAATCCTATTATTGCGATTTTGCAATCGTTATAAGCCAAATAGTCAGTACTTTATGGCGCAATAACCCTGTGATTATGTTTTTTCAGCCATCAATAGATTTGGGCCCTTATATGTAATATTTTTTAAAAATTAGGCCTTTATATGTACGTAATTATTTTTAATTTGGGCCCGTATTTGTAATTATTTTCACTTTCCGGGCCCTTATT